TGAGCTAAAGGCATTGTAGCTTCAGGCTCAAGACAAACTTCTGCCCCTTCTTCCTTAACTACCTAGAAGAGCCTGTACTGGGGGCTTGCTCCTGATAGGAGACTATCAGAAATAACCCTTCTGGGCAAACCACGGTTCCGGAACACCTGCGCTTCTTCCCCAGCAGCGGCCCTGAGGCCCCCGAGGCCCCTCCCGCGTGCCCACCGCTGTGCCCGTTCTGCCTGTGGGCCCCCCTGCACGCGGGGTCTGACCCTCTTGTGTGCTCTCCCCACACACAGGCGTGTCCTGAATTGGGTGGTTTTCCCTTGTTCGCCTGCCTTTGGCCTACTTGTGATCAGCGCAGCTGAAAGAACGTTGCTGGCAGAGGAAAGTGCCCTCCTCCCACAGCACCAGCTTCCAGGCAGAACACAGCCTCCCTCAGAGCAGGCTGCACTGCCCTGAGTAACTGGAATTCGCTCTGTGCCTTAAGCAAGTCGCTTAACCTCAGAGACTGTCTCCTTTCCTACAGGAGGGTTTCCTCACACCTTTCAGACAGGAATGTCGTGAGACTCAAACAGTGAGTGTGCCATGCAAAAGTGTGGAATGGAGCATCTGGACAACCATCTCCCCGGCCACCAGCAATAGCCCCTGGTGTTCTGTGGGTGCCTCATCCGTCCCCGGTCCCTTGGAGTCGGGTGGTGAGGCAACACAGGCCTGGGGCACTCTCCGGGCCTGTGATTGGCCCAGAGTGTCAAGTGTCCCCAGCTACGGCAGTTAGAGTAAGTTTAGGGCTTTTGCTACAGACACTGGGACATTTGTCCCCCCAGATGGCAATCTGGAAGGACACGGTCCTCGGAGCTGCCAGAACCTTCCCATGAGCACACAGGGAAAAACTCGGAGAACGGAGCCCACAAAGAGAGCTGAAGAGAAACTGGAAGTTGTGGATGATATTTCAACCTCTGACTCCAGCCACACTGTGGACATTTCCTACCTTCTCAGCAACAAGGGGTCCTGTTCCTTCATTGTCAGGGATACTTTGGGGGAATAGGGGTGCCAGAATAAGTAGGTTTTAAAATTTAAGTCCAACGTCCTCAAGAGTCCCCACGGTCCAGAAAGCTGGTGGCAGAGCTGGGACTAAAACCTGAGCCCGGACTTGGGTCCCAGCGCGCAAGCCACCCGAAGCGGTCTTCTCTCTGGGGTTCCCACCGTCAGTTCCGAGACCAAGGAGACCTGCACAGAAAGAAGAGACTTCCCTGCGGGGACTGAGGAGGAAGTGGGACCCTGGCAGGGCCCTAGGGAGCTGTGCAGACTGACCGTGTGCCCCGGACGGGTGGGTCACCAGCCACAAAGCCTTCGCCAGAGCTCTCTGAGGGGCAGTAGGTGAGGGGGACCTTGCCCAAGCTGCACAGCTCTTCCTAGAGAAGCGTCTCCCAGGACTCAGGGGGCGCCACGCTCTCCAGGAAAAGCTGCGCCGACCGCCCTGCGCAGTCCGCACTCCTGCAGCACCCGGCGCCGGGAGGCCTTGGCGGTCAGGCACTGGCCAGAGCTCCGGCTCTGGTCACTGCAGCCACTGTGCCCATGTGAGTGGCAGGCCCGGAGTTCTGAAGAATTAACCACCCCCGGGAGGCAGCCCTCGACCAGAGACTACAGGGAAGGAATTCGTTAATACCTGACACTCCCCACCACCCCACCCCACCCCCCCCCCCCCCCCCAGCCCCTGCCCCTGCAGGAGGGGCTCCCACAGGCCGTCTACCCTCTCACTCAGGACAGGACCAGGCCCCAGGTGTCCGCAGTGGTAGCCGGCTCTCTAACAAGCCTCCCACAGTCTGTCTTCTCTTTCCTTCTCAACTCCCTCGCTCCCGTGCCAGTGACTTCTGGGACCACCTCTCAGATAAACTGCTTGCACCAGGACCCCTGTCCCAAGGACTGAGAGAGAACCCAAGTCACCAGAGCTGTTACCACCACACAGCTTTTAGAAGCACCCAGACATCTCCCCCAGCAATTCCAGAAAACACTCATCACTTACCTCTAAATCTACCTTTCCTCCAACAACAGACTCCAAGAAAAAGCTATTTCTTTCCCCCAGCTTCCATGTATGGGATTTCTCTCTCCGGATCACCCCAATGTGCTCAGAAATCCCAGCCCCTTAGACTCTGTTGCCCTGACTGTCTACCCACCTGGTGCACTGACTAGTGGAAGCAAAGCCACAGCAGCTTACTGGTCCCAGGAACACAAATGGGAAGCTGCTTAGATGTGTGTGGGTGTGGGGGGCGCCCACAGGGCCCCACCCCCCCTCCGCCACGGATGACAATAAGTCTACCAAGACATGATCTGCCTGGGGAGGAAAGGTGGCCAGGCTCTCAAAGGAGAAGGTCCGGGAGCCTTTTCCTCAATGGGCTTTTACTGAGTTTCATTTACACAGGAATACAGGTAAAACTCATCAATCATTGTCAGGCAGTAAGGATCAAACAATAGATAACATACAAAGAACTATGAGGGCTTATTCCGAGTCAGGGTCTGTTAGCTAAGTGGCCATAAAACTTTGGGGAACAAACTCATTTCCTGCTTGGACCCTTATCATTTAATTGAGAGCATTCTAAACGAAGCAGGTTTCACAGGATTTTACATATTCTTTCTTAGGCCTGGTCGCCCCAGGGAACCTGCCCTTTCCATCACAGGGCCGCACCCACCACCAGCATTGTCTCAGGCTTAAATCAGGCAGGGGAAGTAAGGCAGCCAAGAGATTAGGAGACTTCTCCCTGACAGAATGAGGACTCAGGCTGTGTCAAAGCCGAGGGGCGGAGGCCCATCACCCCTTTTCTGTAGCCCACAAGTCCTTCCTTGAGGGCCCCGTGATCATGCCTGTCACAGGTCGTCCCTCCTTTGGGGAATGTTACTGGTCATTGGCTAACCAACCAACCACTGGGGGCCAGGCAGGGTTAAGTAAAAGGACTAGAGGCAGTGCCCCTGCCAGGGAGATAAGCTTTAGCTCCTTAGTAGCTTATGGTCCAAAGGTCACTCACTGAGCCTTGGCCATGGTGGTGGTGGGTGGGGGGGAGGCTGGGGTTCATAGCTTCTGAAACCAGGCAGGGCAGTTCCCAACACTTAGGGCCTCACAGAATGCCCATCCCCCAACCACCAAAGCAAGGACCAGGGTCATCCTGGACTTCCCATGCCTCACAGCTCATGGCCAACCTGTCACAACATCCAAACTTCTCCTTATTCTACCACCTCTCTCCATTGCCCACCCTGCCCGCCCCCCCCCCCCAACTGTGGCTAGCCCACTGCCTTCTTCCCCATGAACTACTCCAACAGCCTCTTTCCTGTCCTGACCTCAGGGCCTTGGCATATGCTGCTCCTAAGTCCTGGAGTGCCAAGTGCAGCTCACCGGCTTGGCCAGGAGGACCAGAGACTGTCTGCCTCCTGTTCACTGTCTCCTGCAGCTGCCCTGCCCTCCTGCCCCCACCCATTCCCTCCTTGGGCTCTGGTCTCTCCTCTTATTATGAAATCATCCAGATATGTAAACACTTCAGAGAATCACATATCGAACGCTGTGTACCCAGCACTGCCTAAGAGTGAGACGTTATGCGCATCCCTGAGGGCTTCCTGAACGCCTTCCCGACGTCCGCCCCGCTCGCCCCTTGGCCACCACTCTCCTGAGTGTGGGTTCCTCTCCTCCTCTGCTTATCTGGATATCCTTGCATACATGTGTGTCCCTGAACAATAGATTTCTTTTCTCAGAATTTTTAAGCCTTATATAAATAAAACAATGTGTTCGTTCTCCATTTATCACCTCAGGTTCTGCTGCTGTTCATTTGAGGTGATAGGTGCTGACCCCATTCGTTCACTTTTACCCGCTGGGGGTCCCCTGGTGCGTGTGCAATCTCCCAGCCGCCCCCAGCACTGCGGTGCCGCTGAGCCTCCGGTACCAGCCCCTCAGCCAGTGCACCACTGTCAGGCTCCCACCCAGGACTTTGCTAGGTAAAGGGACACACCATTCTCAGCTTTACTGATGTCACCAGACTATTCTCCAAGGTGGCTGCACCAACATGCCTTGTTGGCAAACCATTTGTCCCTCAGCCTGGCGCAAAGGTGCCTCCCTGCCCACTTTTACCGCCCCACGTAAAATGACAACTCCGCCAGTTGATGTCCAGCCGGTCCAGCACCCTCCCTCGACGCCCCTCCCTCACTTCTCCAGCTGGGCCTGTCATGAACTTCCCCATCTGGGGCAGCTGACACTGTACAGCATTCAGAGCAGGCAGCAGTGACTCCGAAGGTCCACAGCCACAGAACTAACCCCAGATTGGCTGCTTTGGCTGTGTGCCTTTGGGCAAATCGCTTCTCCTCTCTGAGGCTGTGTCACCTCACCTGTGAGATGAGGACACCCACTGTGACCACCAACAGGGGAGTGAGGGTGAGTAAAGAAGTGTGAGAAAGCAGCAGGCACCCGACAGGGAAGCCATCACTCCTGTCACTGAGGATGCCAGGCACTTGATCACGCTAGTCAAGCCAGTGGGAGAGAGCTGGTCATTTATCGGCCCATGTAACTGGGAATTTTGAGGGGATGTCTGTCTCGCTTTGGGTGTAACTGGATCCAGGGGTTCTGACTGGGCACCGGCCCTGTCCATCTCTGGGCCACTTTCTCCTCCATCTTGGCTTCATGCCCAGCCAGGATCTCCAAACTGGGGCTTTGGGACCACATCCCTCTAGCTTAACATCCGCTATGAACGAAGAGACCTTCGCCTTCCTGACGCTTCCTGCCCAAGTCCCAAGCGGTCCTCACTGGCCCAGGTTAGGTCACATGCCCGCACTGGAGCCAATTACAGGGTATCCATCAGTCCCTGCTTCTTAAGGTGTGGTTCTTAGAACAGCAGCATTGGAACCACTTGGGAGCCCCTGGGAAAAGCAGGCACTGGGGCCCCACCCAGAGCCCGCGGCCTCCGGTGAGTGAGCCCGTGAGCCGTCTGCACATCAAAGCCGAGAAGCGCGGTGCTGCACACAAACTGTTTCAGTTGCTCAGCCAGTTTTTAAGTTCTGTTTTATTGAGAACCACAAAAGGTAAAAACTAAGACAGCCCTTCAAAGTCATCGAGTCCTCCCACTTCTTTTACAAATGAAGAAACTGGGGGCAGGCAGAAAAGGGTCTTGCTCGGAGGCCCCCCAGTGCACCCCCACGCCCCACTCCCCCATTAGCGTAGCCATTGTCTCTGGGGGTTGCTTCTTGGGGAGATGCAGCTGGGCCCCAGAGGTGCCAGCCTGGGCCAGGCTTGCGGCACCCGCAAGGAGATGCGTCCGGCCGTTACAGCCACCCCTGCGGGACCTGGCCAGGGCGCTAGGAGCACGCAGGCCCTGCGGAGGATGGACGGCCACAGACATGAGCACACGCAGGCCTCGGGCACAGCCCACCCTCACCCTGACTTGACCCACTGGACCCCCCAAAGTCAAGAGCACTACAGACCACATCAGCCTTTATTCTATTACAGAGTAGGGCTGGGGTCCAGGCACTTCATTCTCAGGCTGTGTCAGAAGGTGCAGAGTTTTGGGGACACCTAGACTGGACCCCAAAGTGACAATAAGTTAGGAGGAAAATTCTCAGGCTCTTGTCAGGCTGGAGCTGGGCTGGGGTGCCAAGTGGGCCCCCCAGAGCCACTGCCAGCTGCCCAGCTCAGCCATCCCGGGCAAGGCAGACTCCAGGGCGTGCAGGCCTCATGCTGCAACACAGGAGGGCAGGAGAGAGAGGGTTTGGGGGTCAGGAGTGGTGGGGGCGTGTAAGAGGGGTCCCCAGAGTCAGGGAGGATGGGGCTGAGGTGGAGGGACAGGGTCTGCAAGGGAGCGTCAGGAGCCTACGGGCCAGCGCAGGGCCGTGCAGGGCTCTCACCAGGCCCTCGGTGAAGCTCCTACAGATTCTCATAATCTGGGGCGCCCTCTTCCTCCTCTTCCTCTGCCTCCTGGGAGCTCAAGATGGCTGTGAGGGGAAGGGAGGTTGGTCTTCAGCTTGAAAACTGCACCCCACTCCCCGCCCAGGGAGCTCCCAGTGCCGCCTCCCCCACCCCCGCCGCCCCAGTACACACCAGGCTCGGTCTTGGCCGTGGGCTGCAGCTCCTGGGACACATTCACATACTCCCGGCTCCCATCTGTGGGGACAGGTCAGGAGGAGGAACTGCCACACCGGGAGGGGGCAGGCCACACTGAGGGTGAGAGAGCAGGAGCACACCCGGACAGAGGGCGACAGAGCCACAGAAGGGGGGAGGCGGGATGGGGTGGCAGAGGGAGGCTGGGGAAGGTGGGCCCCGGAAGGGTACCAGCCGCTCACCCAGCGATGCGTCCGCGCTCTCCTCGCTTTCAGGAACGTTCACGTAATCCTCCCCCGACTCCACTGTAGAAAACCACCAGAGTCCCCAGCACGGTCACCCAGAGCCCTTGGGCACAGAGTCCCAGAGCGCCCAAGCGGATGAAGCCCCCAACCATGGCCACCTGACTTTCCGCAAAACCCTCCCGAGACGGTGCCCAGACACCGTCCCCACGGTCTCCCCCAGGGACGCAGGCAGGGCGCCCCAGACCAGGGAGGCCAGTGGCCTGGACGAGGGCGGAGGCCATGGCAATGGGGAGAACAGGGCGACCGGACCAGAATGGATTAGAGGGAGTGCAATTTTGGGGGAGAGGAGAGACGCAGATGCCCACAGTGCCCATGGTTGGGGAGCAGAGCCGGAGAGCAGCTCAGAGATGTTGGTCTGGGCGCCGTGCGTGGAGGGGCGCACGGCTCCCAGGGCTGGGCTAAGTCAGAGGTGCCGTCGGCCCCGCTGGCCCCTCATCTTCAGACAGAACTGCCCTGATCCCCCATTCTTGTCACAGGCCCTTCATAGCACACATTGTCATTGATAGTGTCTTGTTCTTTTATGTGTTGACTTGTTTCCCCATAAGGACGTGGACAAGGCAGGCTTTGGAGCCAGAATGCCCAGGTTCGAGTCCAGCTCGAGCGCTAACTAATCATGAACCTCAGACAAGCTACCCAGCCTCTCCAGGCCTCAGTTTTATCATCTGTAAAATAGGATGAGTATAAAAAATAGGATGAGTACCTAACCATTTCACAGAGGTGCTGTGAGGAGTAAAGCAGTGAACAGTAAATGTAAGTACTAAGCAGCAAGAGCTACCAAGCGTCCGCTAAATAAATAAACCCTGCCATTGTACAGTTGGGAAAACTGAGGCACAGGTGGGAGAGGGACAGGTCCAATTCCTCACATCTGGGAATTGGGAGGTTCAACAAGCTCATACACACAGAACTCTGAGCAGGGCATGTCATAGGTCCTCAATACTGTTAGCCCCTTTACCACGGCACTAATAAATGGTTATATCGGAGGCACCCAGTGAATATCATAAGTGAATAAGTGAATGAAAGAAAAGAAGCACTTGGACAGGGGGTCTGGAGCTCAAGAGAGAGTCCCTGACTTGGGGACCTGGGTGGCAAAGGCAGCCAGCGTGTGTGCGCGATGGCCCGGGTGCACACGGGGAGGACAGGGGCCGAGCGCTGGAGACCGCCAGACGAGGAAAGCACTGACAGGCAGGATGTGACCAAAACGAAGGGAGAAAAGTGGCTCAAAGGAAATAGAGACAATGCAGGAAGCAGAAGAAAAAATGAAGACAAAAAAGACAACATTTATTCAGTATCCTTGGAGATTTACGAGATGATATTGCCTCCATGAAACATGAACAAGATGCTATGAAAAAGGAGCATGCCAGGGGTCAAGAAAAACCTTTCACACAGGAGAGACTGAAAGAGCAGAGTCGAGGAAGGGGTCTAAGGAGAGCAAGGCCAAGGAGCTGGTGCAGAGGAGACGACGGACAGGAAGGAAGACAAGGCAGAGGAAGGGAGTCAGGAGACCAGAGCGGGCTGCTCGCTCTCTGTGGGGCTGCAGTTCTAGGAAAAGAGAAGAGAGAACCCAGAGGCGGAGCAGGCCTCAGAGAGGCCACAGGAGAGAGAGGGGCAGAGGGGCGGCGCACAGAGGGGCGGCGAGGCCGATGGGCGACTCACTGGAGAAGGCGCTGTCTCGGAGGCCGGCGCCGCTGGGCACGGGCGCTGCTGGGACGGCGCTGCAGGCGGCCGGGACGGTGTCGGGAAGCACCTCCCTGAGGGAGAGCCCAGGGGCGGTTAGCTCGGACCCGGCCTCAGCCCCTTCCTCCCACCTGGTCACTCACAGGTAGCCCTCGGTGTGGTAGTCCTCCTCGTCCTCATCTTCGTCCTCGTCCTCACAGACTGGCTCTGGGGTAAGGACACAGGGGTCAGCACGGCCCAAGTCAGGCCCCGGCCTCCCCCACCCAGGGCACCGGGGTCGCAGACGCACCCTCGTTCTCATAGCTCGCCACGCTGTTGGCTAGGGAGAGAGGGAGGGCAACAGGGAGACCGGGTCAGGGGAGGCCCGCTGCCACCAGCCCCGGCCCCGCCGTGCCCCGCCCCAGCTTACCGCCATCGGAGTCCTGCCGGGAAGATGGCACTTGGTGGGAGCCCCCTGGGGGCTGTGGGGACCGCCTAGAAGTCAAAAATCAGAGGTCAGCCCTGGTTGGTGTAGCTCAGTGGATTGAGTGTGGGCCTGTGAACCAAAGGATCATGGTTCGATTCCCAGTCAGGGCACACGCCTGCACTGCAGGCCACTTCCGAGCAGGGGATGCACAGAGGCAACCATACATTGATATTTCTCTCCCTCTCTCCTTCCCTTCCCCTCTAAAGATAAAGAAATAAAATCTTAAACAAAAATCAGAGGTCATGCCTGAGATGGGGCTCTGGGGCAACAGGGAAAGAAACTCCCCATCCAAGAAGGCGAGGGATAAAGAGGGGGACTTGGAGGAGAAGGAGTTACTTACGGGATGGGGAGCAGGTCTGGCTGGCTCAAGGATAGACAGGAGGTAACAGGCGGATAGGAAGTAGCTGGTGGCCAGGGAGCTATCATGGCTGAGGACACAGGGCCAAGGTGAAGGAATGAGTCCAGACATCATGGCCTAACCTTGTTAAGGCCTCGAAGGACAGATGAACTTCTTGAAACCCCTGCACCCTGGACAGGCCTGAGGACACCTATACCCGTCCGCATCCCAGCTCAGGTCAAGACCATGTGGGCAGCCACAGCTGGGAGGGGTGGGGGGAGGGGAGCTGAACAAAGGCAGGCACTTGCTCACATGCCAGGGAACTCTCTTCCCTACCCCAGGGGCAGAGGGCCCTCCGTGTACTCACGAGGCCGTTTGATCACGATGCTGCGTGGGATCCCACTGGCAGGACAGACACAACTTGGTAAGGGACCAGGAGAAGCCCCAGGGCCAGCCCCGCGTAGGGCACTAAGGGAGCGGCACCAGCCAAGAGGGCAGACTCACCTGTTGGGGTCGGCACTGCCATGTGAGTCTGTGGAAGAGAAGGCTGGTGAGGCAGGAAAAGTGAGTGACGGGGGGAGCGGGTAATGGAGTCAGGGGCTCTCAGTGTCTCCGCGGGCAGGACAGTGAGGGCTGGCAGGACGGTGTGAGGCACTGGGCAACAGGCTGAGGACCCCTGTCCCTATGTCCAAGCACCTGACTGCCCCCCAGCTCCCACTCACCTTGCAGCTCCCGGCAACGCACACAGAGTGCCGTCAGCAAAACGGCCAAGAGCGGCAGCAGCAGCAGGCCCAGCACGAGGGAGAGCAGGATGGCCACCTCCATCTACCTGCAGGACAGAGCTTGGACCAGGCCAGACTGCTCGCTGCGCGCCCCTCCAGGACAGAGCTGCCCCAAAGCACGGGCTGGGCCAGCGGAGGGAACAGACCCGGCGGCACCAGGCTACAAGCCTGGTGGGTGGCAGCCTCGCCCTCCTTGCGGGCTCCCTGACCCCTTCCCCTCGTTGGGCTGAGTGGGGGTCAGTGCTGGCTCTGGAAGACCCTTTATTCCGGAGCAGTTGGGCCAGGGCGTGGGCTGGAGTGTGGGGCACCGGCCACCCCTGCATGGACCCTGCACCCAGGCCTACCTGCCCTTGGGCTCGGCGCCCGCCTCTCCTCAGCGCCTGCCTGCCCGCCTGCGGCAGGAAGCTGTGGTGAGCTCCGGGTGAGGGCAGGAAATCATCAGGCTTCTCAGCCGGCTGCATCCACCCCCTTCCCACCCCCACCCAGCCAGTGGGGAGGGGAGGAGGAGGCCTAAGGAGCCACCCTCAGGTCCTCAAGAAGGGTGTGCTGGTCTCCAAGACAAGGGGCAACTCATACCAGTGGGAAAAGGACAAGCCAATTGCAGGCCAGCCAGCAGACATGGCCTCCACAGCCTGGGCTCAAGGAGGCGGCGAGGAGGGAAGTGGACCCCCAGAATTCAGAGGGGCACAGGGCCCACCCCCACCTCACCCTAGTTGGCCAAGGGCGGGCTCGTGGGGAAACAGGGGCGTGACTCACAGTCACACAAAGCCAGCTCACTCCACCCTGTTCACCCAGCTCAGAAGCCCCACAGGAGTGACCCAACAGCCACCAGGAGCCCTGGGGCTAGAGAGAGGGCACCCCCTACAGTCTAAAGGTTGGTGGTTACTCGCACCCAGGCAGACACAAGCAGGCAGCTGGGGTCTGGCTAGAAATTTTATTCGTACAAATAGCACCGAGACCCTGGGACCGCTCCCGTGGAGGAGGGTCCCCTCCAGGCTCCCGCTGCCCACCCCTGGCTGCCCATGTAGTGTGTGGGAGCTGGAATGTGGCCCAAGATCCCTCCTGGACGCCGGGCCAGGCCAAGGGTTTGGGCCCAGGTGCCTGTGGGGGCTGGCCTGGGACCCGCTGTGGTAGGTGCGCAGGTAGGTGGGTGACAGCCCTTCAGATAAGCACACTGGACACAGGGACCCGGGTGGAGCGGCCCCGCCGGGGCACCACAATCCGGTCATCTTCAGGCCCTGCCTCACGCAGCAGACCTGCAGAGGGAAAGGTCAGGGCCAGAGTTGGATGGGCAGATGGACACAAAGCCCGGGAGGGGACAAACAGGCAGTGAGAAGTGGATGGATGGGGCCCCAGAGCTGTGAACAGTGGGATATCAGCCTGTCGGCCAGGCAGACCCCAGGCTGGGTGACGGGAGGGCTGCGCCCCGAGAGGCCAGGTCCACAGGACTGGACGGACGGGTGAAAGAACAAGCAGGCAGCGTCACGAAGTTGGGCAAGCAGCTGTGCGTGGACGGAGGAAAGGTCCAACTGACCCTGCACATGCAGCTGGGCCCGCCGGCGGTCACCCTCAATGACGATGGCGGTGCCCAGGAAGGCCGCACCGCCCAGGGCCCCGACAAAGGCACAGAGCATGAGCGAGAACTGCAGGGCCCGGAACTCGGACAAGAAGGAGGGAGGCCAGTTCCGGCGGAGGCGGTCGGACATCTGTAGGGAGATGAGGAAAGGAAAGCGAAGAGAGTCTTAAAGAGGACACTGGGGACAAGGGGCCCCAAACTCCAGAAGAATGAAGACTAGAGCCAGGGAAGGGTGTCTAGGCTTCCAGAGAGGTCCTTGGCATCATGTGGAAACTCGAAAAGACAAACTCCTTCGCACTGGATGCGGGTCCAAGGTGAGAGGTGCCCGGCACAGGAGCCTGACTGGGACGGCCTTCCCATTCAGCCCAGCTCAGGCCCCGGGCCACTGGCCAGTGATAGGAACATAGGGTGCCCAACCCCAACCCAGCAAGAGCAGTGCTCACCAGGCCAATGAGGTAGGGGCTCCCAGCATCACCAAGCAGGTGGGACAGCACGATCTGGAAGGCCTCGGCCGTGGAGCGTCTGGTAGGGATCACCACATACTGGGGGCGGGGGGGGGGGGGAGAGGGAGCGGACAGGGCAAGGCTCAGCCCAGGCTGAGGTCAGAGGTGAGCCCCAGCTCAGAGAGGTTACTAGGATGAAGAACAGGGTGGGCCTGGACTACAGGCCACTCCCTGCCCCCATCGGCCTCTGGAACAACCCCAGAATAGCCCGCCTACTCACCAGCAGAATATCAGCCACAATGGCCCAGTTCATGGACAAAAGTGTCTCTCCAATAAAGATGAAAATCTGGGGGACCAGGAGGTGGGGGGCAGTGTTGATCTCATCACAAGAACAAACACAGGGAGGTCCATCTATTAACTCACTTAGTCCTCACAGCACACCTGAGACAGGAACTATTAGCATTTCCTTTTTGCAGATGGTGAAACAGCACAGCCCAATGCCACACAGTTAGGAGGGCGAGACCTGACATTCAAAACCAGGCATTCCCACCTAGAGCTGGCTCTGAACCATGATGCTGGCTGACTTCAGTCCTGCCCCAGTGCACCGTTCCCCAACCCTGGACCCAAAACAGCCCCCTTGATACCTGCTGGCTACTCACATAAGTGGCCACGATGCTACCACGGGCACAAGCAACGGACAGGAAGAGGAAGGGTGCAGAGCCCAGGAGGCCAGCAGCACAGACCAGCGGGTCAGCCCGGGGGTTGGAGCGGCGGAGGCGGCGACTGATCTCCACACCCAGGCCCACACCCAGGACCCCGGTCAGGCAGGTGATGAGCCCAAAAATGAGGCTGGGGGCAGGGACAGGGGTACAGGGGCTAGTCCGTCTGCCTGCGCAGCCCCCTAGCCTCGCCCCTATAGCCTGGAGAGGAAGATGACCCATCCCAGCCGCCCTTGCAACCCAGGTCTACCCAGGCATAGCACCCCATGGTTCAGGAAGGTCCGTCTCCTACTTCCCAGACCGGGAAGCTGAAACTCTGGGACAGCAAAACGGCGTGCGGAGTCAGGATTGAAACTCTCCTTGTCTGAGTCTGAACCATGCTCTTTCCACTCCGTCCCCGGCCACCTACGGGCCGTCCATCCCAGCCCCCATCTGCGTACCTGTCAGAAGAAGAGCAAGAGTCTCCAGGAAGACAGGGCGGGGTCTCCCCCAAAACCACACGGGAACGCAGCAAGAACGCAGGAGCCCAAAGAGCCAGGGAGCCCGTGACAAAGGCCACAGCAGTGAAGCCGAGGGAAGACAGGATGAAACTCGGGCTGCGGACGGTCGGAAAGGAGGAAGTCAACCCCCACTGAGGGAACGGAGTGGGGGACTCTCTTCTGCCTTCCCGGCCTCCTTCAGTAAGGTCAGGGCACAGGGTCTGGGCCTATAATTCAACGAGCTGCCACAGGAGGCGGCAGTTATGGAATTACTGGCCCTGACACTGGGCCGGGTGACGGGAAAGAAAACAAAGACCGCCCCCACGGAAATTTCAACCCCGTTGTCCTGCCTTCCTGGGGATCTAGACATTGGGTTAGGCCGAAATTAAACTCACTTTCTTGCCAGAGCCCTCAGATCCGCCCACCACGAGGTGGGGTTCAGGGGCGGTGAGTCTGAGTGGCGCTCTACAGCTCCCCTCGGCGGCTCCCGTACTACCAGGAACAGCAGCAGTACTGCCACCACTCCTAGGCCTGGTGTCACCTGGGGAGAGAGTGGGCTTCAGGACAGGCACAGGCAGAAACACACCCGACTCCCGGGGCTGGGAGAAGGAGGGGCATGTAAAGGAAGCTCAGGCACCAAGACCTCGGACAGCGGGGTGCTTGCTCAAGGAGGCTGAACCTGCAACTCTGGCGAAGGGGCGATTGCTATGAGGGGCCACACCCATTTCTGCAAGCCTAACTGCTCCCTCTTTGGTAACAGCACCCCGATTTTCTTTTGGGAAACCACTCACTTCTCTCAGTTAGCATGGCTCAAATAGGGCGGGGCCTGTAACCCAGGCTTAGCCAACAAGAGCAGTATTAACGCCCCCCATGACTGATTGGGTGGTGGGCATGTGACCCACATTCATCCAATCAGATTCTATCCAGGACTATTGCTCAAGGATCCAGGATGCCAAAGTTTCTAAATGGGGAGATAAACGTGTGGAGTTTCCACCTGCTTGAGGACAAAGGCAGCACAGAGCTAGGAGGAGGGCGATCAGACCCCCGTGACCATGAGAGTCCCGGGTCCAGCTTTAGTGGAAGCACACCCTGGGGCTTTCCGTTATGAGAGCCAACACAGTGCCATTAGGGCGCTTACACTTTTACAGGAAACTTCTGTCACCTGCAACCAAGAGCTCTGTCTAGCACACGGCTTTGTGGTGGGGGCAGCCGGGCTTTCTGCAGGCTTGGCAGAGTGAGTGCTGCCTTGAAATGGGGTATCTGCAGGTACAATGGGGGGTCAGTGACGATGCTGCTGACCTTCCCGCAGGCTGTGACCAGACTCACCCTCAGAGCCCAGTGCCAGTCCCCAGCCACGTCCTTAACTTTGGAGCCTGCAATGTAACCCAAACCACTGGAGGACAGGGGAAGGAGAGGAGAAGGGACAGCTGGTCAGTCATACCCAGTGCTAGGCCCTTCCACCCCCCCACCAGGCCCAAGGCGCACTTACCTGCCCACTGGGATGGCAAAGTAGAACACGCTAAGCATCTGACTCCGCTGGTCTGCCACGAAGAGGTCAGCGATGAGGGTGGGTGCGATGGTGGAGTAACTGGCCTCCCCGACCCCCACCAGGCCCCGAGTCAGGAGGAGCAACCAGAACCGCTGGGGAATGAGACGGGGGTGGGGAAGTGGCACCCCACCCTACAAACAGCCTCCCAGCCTAGTCCACCGGCCAGTTCTGGAGAGGTGCCAGGGATGGTGGGAGAGGCCAGGGTTTTAGAATCAGATGGACCTGAGCTTGAATTCTGGCTCCCCTACTTACTAGCTGTGTCTTTGAGGAAGCAACTTAACCTCTCTGAGCCTCAGTTTCCTAATCTGAAAAAGGGAGATAAGGACATGTTCACATAACTGTTGTGAGGACAGGACAATATAAGGGTCTATTCATTACCTTGTGCCCAGTAAGTGCAAAATAAATCTTACTTTCTATCTCGCCCACCCCATCTAATAGTGAATAATGATCTTAGGTGGGGTTTCATTTGTCAAAGACCCCTGAAGCTAGGGACAGGGTACCATCACTCAGGGAGAGTGTGCAGAGGACAGAGTTCTGGGGCAGAGACAGAATGGACAGGGGATTTTAAAGGAGCAAAGAAGCAACCACCGGGGAGGCAGAAGAAAAACCAGAGGAATGGCGTCACTGAGGTTGGAAGAGAGTTTCCAGAGGAAGAAGTGGGT